GACGATGCTTTTGTTACAACCAAGCACGTAGCCTGCATTAGCGTTACACGACACGATTATAATAATCGACAAAATTCCAAGACGTTAGAAATCAACGACGTGTATTCCTAGAGAAAAATTTCCCTTTTTATCTATGTAGATAGCGGGTAAACACAATAATGGTTGAAATTTACCTTTGGATTCTCCGAATCGATTACAAATATATATGTGCATAATAATGCAATACTACGTATCACACGCGATACTAAAAGCCTATTACGAGTTCAATACACTTTGCACAATTTATCGATGCGTGGAACGCGCCTTTTCCCATCCCTGTTTATTGTTTACGAACTGTTATATAAACCACTTCAGTAATATTACGAGATAAAACAGATTTCACGGGTGGTAATTGTTCCTTTGATGCTCGACCTTTTTCTACTGCACGGATACCGGCTTCTTCTCTTATGTTAATCGAGAACGTTTTTATCTCGTAACTCATAACTAGCGAGGATATAACATTACGAGTAAAGTTCGTATTATGATGGTCGAAAGGATTCGTAGCTCGGTATCGCCGTCACATTCGAGGTTTACGTGTGCTTCTGCGTGCGCATACAAATATTTGATGCACACGTACGTGGCTTCAGACTGTCCGAAAATTCGATGCCAACGTAACGATACAAGGACAGGTTTTAATCGCAAACGTAACATAATTTGATATGATGTATTTCATGCGTTTTCTAGTAAAATGTTTTCAATTTAACGTGTCACGCATATTGTATGAATGAAAACTCACTAATGCACTTTATTCTTAAATTATCCTCGTGTTGCTTCAAAATTATTGAATTCGCTGAAAGTGAATATTCTGGAAATGAGAATTTTGAAATTTTTTGAAATTTCTGTTCAATAATCCACGTATTTCTTTTGAAACAAGAAAACACGAAACACGCTCTATTTGCATTGAAATTATAGACGTACATCATGCTTGTTACAAAGGGTAATGAACCCCGTTGGTTTGTATCGGTTTACAGAAAAAGAACAAACTACTGAAATATATATCAAAAAAGTAAGTGAAAGTAAGTGATAACGTTCATCGTACTCACCGCAATGCAGTGACCGCCACGCTTGTATCATGCAGAGCTTCCCTCCTTCGTCGCTGCGAAACTCGTGAAACGGGGGTTGAACAAGGGCTGCTGTTCGTGACAGGAACCACCGCATAACCAACAGTCACGTTTGTATCAGCACATCGGTTCGTATCAGCAGAACGGTCACTTTCTACACCGCACCACACGCGTTTCGTTCAAACAAATGCGACGAACCACCATTTATTTCCTAAAGAAACATCAGCAACCACAAGAAACGCGGAAACGAAAAGTTTTTCGAGCTTGTAGGGCCGCCGAATCGATGTGTGATGTTACACTTCCCAGCTGTCTTTTTTGATTCTGCGGATGTGCCCGTCGCTACCGCCATCTGGCGACGAATCTTCAAACTATTCTGTTCATAAATAGGCGCGAATATTTAAACATTGCATTAATTTCAGCAATTACAAATAAATATTCCAATATATATTTACAAATGCAAATTATTTATACAAAGTAATTCGGATGAATTTATGATTGATTAATTCATATTTAAGTTAAATTATATTATATTTATAAAAATATAATGAAATTAATATTTTCTAAAATAGCTTATAGAATACATACATAATGCAATTTATTTGTATAATTAAATTTATTTTCTACAGCATTTTTTTGTATGTAAGAATATAAGTTAATTTGTAATCTTAAATTTATTAATATTAATGGTTAACAATCATAATATATATTTGTCATATTTATTCACATAAATATAATAAAAATGTATGTATCCTTTGTAATTGATATATTACAAGATATTTTTATATATTTACATATAAAATAAAGAGAGGTAAATTGGAATTAAAATAAGTCATATATTATTTTTTTGCAAGTTATACATTTGAACAAGTAAATAAATCATTTGCACGGATATGACATTATGAAGAAATTAAGTCACTTTATTTTTAAACTCCGCAACAATATACCTTGCACAATATTTTAACAAAAGCAATAAATAAAACTCAGATATACTATTGTTAAGTAAAATATATGAATTCTAAAGCATATAATAGTAATAATAATTGTAATAATAATAATAATAATAATAATAACAATAATAATAATAATAATAATAATAATAATAATAATAAATGAACAATTAAGTAAATATTTTGAAATATGGAACTGACAGTCTTAACTTTATCCGACTAAATTTTAATTTAGAATGAGAAAAAATATTATTCGAATAAAATATTGACTCTTTAAAAGAATATAATGTGTTGAAATTCATTGTTACATTTCAAATATAGGTTTGTCATATAAATACAAGAAGCCTAATTCTCGTCATAAAAAGATATACGCAAAATCGAAAATAACTAGAATTTAAGGCCACAAAATTTTTATCGTAATAATAATATATATTTATTATCTAATGTATATATGCATATATATTTACGCGCGCGCGCACATATATGTGTATCTGGGGATTTATCTGTCTACAATAAAATAAGCTGTACAAATAGGATGGAATGTTTCGTTAACTTTAAATACTAAATATTTTTTTAGAATGCTTGGTTTCGAAATAGCTATTATTATACAAAGTAGGCATTTACATGTAACTTTGATCACGGTATTTTCGATTAATTAGTTTTAGGAAGTGTAACATTTTTAATAAAAGAATGTCCACTTTTTCACAAATATTGTCAAAATACATAAATAAATTTTACTACTTAAGCAATTTGATATCTATTTTTCTTATCTTATTTAATGCTATATACAATAAACTAAATATAGCAAGTTGTTTATATAAATTTTAGAAGAACATACAAGAAGAATACTGTTATATGTTTATACAGAATTTTTATGTTTAAGAAAAAATTTATTATATATAACAAATTATATAATAAATACCTCAGTTTAAAAATATTATTTTTATTATATATATATATATATATATATAATAATGAATAATATATATATAT